AGAACAAATATTACTCATACTTAAGGATAACGTGTTTATTTGTACGCTTATGCATTCACTTAAGGTTGTTACACTGAATGAAAATATCATCTCATATGTCTAAAACGACGAGTGTGTTTTTAGCAATTTTATTAGAAAGAGAAGGGTGTGAAAAGCAGAGATTTGGAAATGGAGGCAGTGTGAGTATAAACATGTTTTTATGTAAACAGTGGTAATGTACCAGTTCTTCGTGCCAATGGAGAAATGCCAGAATGAAAAGGCATATTGAAAGAATTATGCCAATGATGATGATTCTGCTTCATGAAGTTTTAAGACAGTATGAGAAAGGGAAATACAGATATAGGTAGATAGATAGATAAATTAATAAACAGAGCGAGAGTGAGAGAAAGAAAGAGATATGTAGAACGAAAGAGAGAAAGATAGATAGATAGATAGATAGATAGATAGATAGATAGAGAGAGAGAGAGAGAGAGAGAGAGAGAGAGAGAGAGAGAGAGAGAGAGAGAGCGAGCGAGAGAGAGAGACTACTTTTTTCCCCACACCAAAATTATAAATATTTAAATACTATATAAAGCATTTACTTGGTTATGACCAATTATTGATTATGTACTATGCATATATACTTACATTTATGTACATAAAGATGTGTAAATAAGTAGGTTTTAAGCAGCAATTAATGATTCAATATCAAAATTGATTTTGTTTTATGAAACAAATTTAATACCCTCACTACATTGATCAATTTTTCCAAAATGCACCGTTAAATTAAATTACAATGAAATCCTACGGTTTCATGGTCAATTGAAGGCAATAAGCAAGGAAAAATTCCATGCCACGCACCCTAATTATGACTTTGATCTTGACACAACCCTCACCCAGGGTGTTGGTCTTCTTCAGAAGCCTTGGAATACCCAGGAGAATCGTAATGTCTGATAATGAAAAGGATTTGTACTATTGACCCTATTTTCGATTTTCTCGCCAACCCCGTGCATGAATCCTTAAGCGAATGTTCCATGTCATGCATAAATGGTCAGTACGACTTGGAGTATTGGTCAGGTAACGGTAATTGTCAGGTAACGGGGCTAAGCATGAGCTGGAAATTAATTTAGATGGGCTATTCCTGGTTGACACGAACAAGCACTCAGCGAAACATAGCCGGTATCAAGAAAACCTTTTGGGCAATTGCAGATTTAGATAGGCTTCTATTTTAAGCTTGGCTTTTAAGTGTCTTTTTTATGTGTATAGAAGACAACACGCTACTGATGAAATCAAACACAGTTAACAGCAGATATAACGGAGTTAACTTACACTGAAAAAAAACCAGACACTTGTATTTATTTATTTTTCATAATAACTAGGAATAAAGATTAATAGTTGATTTAAAACGTAAAAACAACATAAATAACTTGTCGTTTAACTTTATAAAGTGCTACTAATCCTTTTACATTCTTTAGAATAAAAATAAAGAAAATCAGTTTAATTTGATCCTCTCCAGAGCCAACTTATAGAGTGAGTTAATTGATTTTGTAAAAATTATTTTCTTTGATGAAACAATAAATTTGAGTATATTTTTTTAAACTTGGTTTTAAGGTCGAGAAGATCGCGCCAGGGCAAATGCTTTGGCTTACGAAGGGACGTAGCGTCCGTTATATAGCCCAAGTACTGAGTGTGCAGCGCACTACCATCCACGATGGTTGACAGCGGTTTTGGGCCACCGGAAATCTAGATCGAAGAGGAATGGTCGACCGCGATATACGACGGCTAGAAAAGATCGTTTTATTTCTCTTACGCACTACGGAAACGTCATTTAACGGCTTCCTTGATAGGTAGTCAACTCCAAACGGTCCGTATATAAGGGTGAACTCTAAAATAGTCATCAGAAGGCTTCGTGAAAGTTCCACATCAGGTTCTCTATTACAGGAGAGGAATAGGTTAGAACCATTCGAAATTCACTTATACACTCGAACATTGGGAGGGGGGTTCACAGATGTGTGCCGGTGCAATCAAGTGACCGGGACTCTTTGTGTGTATGTTTGTGACATTTTGCTTACCCTGCGTGAGTCCCCAGACTTTCCAAAGACGGACAGTTGCGATATGGGGTAGATTCAACGTCCATGGCAGTACCGAACTTTATTATCATACAAAATGAATCTTTCACTGCACCAAGGTACATTGAGGAAGTTCTTTAGGAAGGTGTGGTCCCAGCCGCTTTGTTTATTGGGGGTGCTTCGTGTCAATGCCTGATAATACTCGACCTCAGTCCTACCACAATGAATTGACCAGCAAGTTCTCCTGACACGAATCCCATGAAACACTTATGGGACATGATAAAGAGACAGGTTAGGTATCGTCCCCTCCAACAAGCGTTGAACAGCTTCAAACAGCTCTTGTTGAAGAATGGGATTCTGTTTCGATTTTCGATTCGAATTTCGATCGCTTATTTACTCGATGTCTAGGAGATTTAAGACGTCCGTGAGTCTAGAGGATAGTACGCGTTATTAAGAGCAAAAGTCGGTAATAAATTGTTAGCTAAATTGTAGTCTCTCACTAAATGATTTTCCGGTGATTTGGTGAATTTTCTTTCAAAACTCATAATTAAATAATTTATATTAAATCTCAAGAATTTCAGAACTCGTTTAATTTGTTTTACATTAAAATTTGAGTGTATAAATTACAATTAAGAATACGAACACTAATGTACTGACGTTTAAAGCATGGTCAAGATGATTTAATTCATCATTCAATCATCAACTTTTGACAAAATTCAAGGCAGTGATATTAAAAAAGGACTTCAGAAGTACATTGATTGAACATTCATGTGATAGTAAGCTGAACGCGTCCCTTCTGATAAATCCTACTAAACGCGTTTTCTTTAATCCACCGTTGATATAAAATATGTATATAATTATATACATATTTTTTCTTTTTCTCTCTCGTACGTGTATTTCGTTCATTCCGCTCCCTCGAGGCTTGTCTTTCTGTCTTTTCCCAATATTTTTTAAACTCTTTTTTCGCCGGCCGGAGGAATTGACCGCAGAATGATATCCGTGAAATCAGGGGAAAGAAGGAATGTACATAAATGTGGCGGATTGTTAAAATAATTCCGCTTTGGAAACACGATCTAGGCGATTTCGCAACCTCCTACACTTTTCGAAATGTAAGATGCAAATACTTATAAGTTGAAACATTTCCAAAAATTAAGAAATATATATTTAAATATAATTCTAGCAGGTCTTATATCTGCATAAATCTTTGATACAATTGATACTGCTCTCAGCACAGATCAAGATAAGCTGGTAAGTGTTGAGTTATAAGTGTGAATCGATGAATTTCGAAGTACAATATGCAAAAAATAAACCAAAACTTTCTTATTGTATTCATAGTTGTCACATTTTCCGACTGCTCAGTTTTGATAAAAGGAGCTCATATTTTGAAATGAACTACTCGTTGCCGGCTTATCTGATGAAAAAGCAATAACTGAAGATCCAAAACAAAAGTACTACGAGATTATGTATGTAGAGAAAGCAGTTTATTAAAGAAACAGAGTTCATTTTCATGCATTTTTATAATATATTAAGAAAAACACAAAAATAATTCAAATTTTTTCCTTAGGAGACGTATTTCATAATTTAGCAACGAATATTCATTAAAAAAAATGGCCTTGAAATATGATGGCGTGAGTATATAAATTCAAAAGTTGAACAGGATAGTTTGTAAATAAACCCATCTTTTTCATCTATTGGATGGACATTTACCACTCTTACATACATTTGAAAACTACTGATAAACCCTAATCAATAAACTCTAATAATTATCAATAAGAGTTACACAAAAATAATATGTGCAGGTTAGTAAACTATCTTATTTATCTTTTTAAGGAGTGTGGTCACTAGCCCACAACTCCATATGACTCAAACGATACATCATCATCAACATCAAAATCCAAATATTTACTCAATACAATACTTGCTGTTGTACACCCAATAAATGTAAAAAAATAACGTTTTATTTGGCAAGTATTGACCTAAATCATCAATGGGAACCAAAATCGAGAATTTTGGATGTCTTTGTTCTGTGGCGATTTTAGAGCAAAAATGTTGAACTCTTGTTTTGTGAACATTTGTTGTAAAAGTTAGTTTGGTAGAAGATAAATTAATTTGGGTAGTTCGAATTATCTACTCAACTTTGAATTATCTATTTTGGTACATTTTTTTCTATCGTAACAAAAAAATTCAAAAGATGTTTATAGTTTACAAAAGTTTACAATTCAAAAATTTGATTAAAAAAAACTTCAGTGGAAAGAACAACAAAATATAAAGAGAAATTATTATAATAATTAGATCCAGAGACTTTACAAATTAGTTTTTCTTTAATAATAATTTAAAAATATAGATAGGCTTATGGAGTAAATTTTAAGTATAATAAATATACCGCAATTTTAATTTTTATTTTGTAAAGTTTTGTTTTGTTAAAAGTATTTTTCCATCTTATTCACTGTTCACTGTAGAATTTTCACCAAATTTTAATTAATAAACACAGATAACGTAAAATAGCAACTATAGTTTTTAAATTTATATAGAGTCACAGTGTATTTCAAAAATAATGTACGCGTGTGTATGTGTGCGTGTGCGCGCATGTGTGTGTGGTCTTTCTCTGTGTGCATTTATGTGTATGCTTGTGCGAAAACAAAATATTTATTTTTTATTTTGAAGGAATCAACGGTAATACTTGAAATGTAATTTTTATTGCATATTTGAAATTCATGGCAAGAACCTTTTACGATGAACGCCTTATATGAATCATTTATTTAAAATTTAAAAAGATGACGACAGGAAGAAACATTTTTGAAAAGTAAAAAATATAAACAGCACAATTAATTTTTTCCTTGCTTTTTGGATAAAAGCTATAATCAGGGGTATCTTATCTGGTTGTAAACAATTGGGTACGTTGTAAATCCATCGACGTAAATTTTGCCGGTTCCTGGAACGGTAAAGACTCACCTTCGCATCCGTCGTAATAGAGTGAACTGACTGACTTTCTGCATCTTCCCGGCCTTTTCTTACCCTTAAACGTAGTGGGGCTCCCCTCCTTCTTGAGACACCGGCTGGGACACCCCGGCATTTCGTCCACCCTGGATTCTGGATAGGGTTGGACGACCCGTCGACTGGCACGCGGGCAATTAACGGACGGGATGACGTTTGGCCCAATTTTCTTGACAATGACCGAAAATTTAGCATAAGACGTAACACTTCAACGAAAATAGATCGTTGATCGTTCCATCGTCACAGGACTAAATTGGCCTGACATTTTCGCCCGTCATCCCATACTTCAATTTGTTTTTTGTCGATTTGTTAGGTTTACAAATTAGGATTTGCTTCATAAAATTTCTTATTAATGACTATATCATTATGCGATAATGACTACACCTTACTATTAGTTTGACATTGTTCATCAAAAACAATGATAAACAATAATTATTATTTTCTACTTTGACAATTATTTAGGCAATAAAAATAAATTATGACAAATTGAAATATATAAATTCGTAAAATCTCAATATTGACATTTTTTAGTTTCTTTTTCCATCAATAGATAAATTTGTTTTCTAATAATAATACACTAGTAGCAATTATGTTACATTTATGTTTCAATTTCAAAGTTTAACAATATCACATAATGAATATAATAATGCAATTGATATTTTAATTATACCGAAAAATTTTAATATTAGACAGGTAAATAAGTAAATAGATCGATGGAGTGAAAGTTTGAGAGATAGTGTTTGTGCGTGCGTGCGTGCGTGCGTGCGTGCGTGCGTGCGTGCGTGCGTGCGTGCGTGCGTGCGTGCGTGCGTNGTGTGTGTGTGTGTGTGTGTGTGTGTGTGTGTGTGTGTGTGTGTGTGTGTGTGTGTGTGTGTGTGTGAGGCAGAGGGGTTTGATAAATAAATAAACAGGTAAGTACACTGACAGGCAAAAAATTCCACCCAACAGATTTTTTTCATTTTCTTGATAAAAGAAAATTCTGCCCTTAATTTGTCTCATTGTTTTTATCCATAAATATTCGTTTATGCTATGTTTTAAATTGGGAATATCAATTAGACGTAAACACATATAATCCTTAACCTAAAACAGAGATAAACGATTTTTCAATGTTTAATTTTAACGGAATTGAAAATGTTTATTCATTCTCTTCGAATTCTGAAGCAATAAACTGTTTAGTAAATTCACTAATTTCGTGGTCCGCTTGACCAATTAATATATTACAGTTAATTAAGGTTTTTAGTTGAGATAAAAGTCAATGGCACGAGCGGGATTCGAACCCACGATCTTCGGCTAGATAGGCCGCTGCTTTACCACTTGAGCTATCGTGACCTCGATCCACTCGGACACTAACTTCTCAGTTTTCCTTCCTTTTTGCCATTTTTCTGCCTGTTTAGTTTTCTTCTTTGTTTTCTTAATATCCCTTTTTAAACCTAAAAATGCCACTCAGTGCTGAGGATGTTGCGCGTGGTGCCTCACTTATTGATGATGGACGTTCCATCAGGTATGCGGCTATTGCCATCGGAGTTCCTTAGGAAACTGCGATACTCCGTCAGACATTTTCGAAAAACTGGGCCCTACTATAGAAGGCCTGGGGGCCCTTTGAGAATTTTGCGAAACCGACACCTCACTGTTGTTCATGCAATTCATCAGCCGCAGGAAGTTCGAGGTGTCCAAATTAATAAACACACTGCTCGCAGAAGATAAAATCAGTATGAACTGATGGCTTTTCGCCCCGTAAGAGGACCAGAATTGACCAGAACACACAGAGTTGCACGGCTCGCATTTGCTCGAGAACACAGTCTTTGGACGATTGGTCTGCTGTACTTTTTACGTATGGGTGTAGATTTGCTCTACGATCTCCAGATGGGCGTGAAAGAGTGTGGACAAGTCGAAATGAAAGGTACGAAGTTTGTAATTTTTTCCAGTGCCGACCTTTTCAACGTAGCTCAGTGATGGTGTGGGCGGGAATTTCAATGGAGAGTCGCACAGAGTTGGTTGTTGTTCATGGAGGGTGTTTGACGGCCACTCGTTATGTAGATGAAATTTGAGAACATCATGCGTTGCCTATCCTCAATGAAATCAGCGACAATCCTATTCTAATGCATGATAATGTCACCTGTCGCTCGCACAGTACAAACCTTCAACAGCATAACATCAGGGTCTTAGCCTGGCCAGCCCGTTCTCCAGATTTGAACCCCATCGAACATTTATGGGATTACCTCAAAAGACGAATAAGAGCACAGCTATCACTTCCTGACACACTCCACGAGGGAGTGTATGTATGTACATAAATATAAATTATAAATATTGCATAATATAATAGTTTTTTGTTTTTTTGGTTGCTCTGACTTCTTAACAACCAGGGGTAGATTTGTAACTCAAAATATTCTATCCATTGACGTATCAATGTTGCGCGAGTTTAACTTAAAAGATTTTCTGTTTATGTATATATTAAGCATCCCAAACCCCATTATACGTTATGTATATTTATTACTTCTTTTTTAAATTCCTTTTTTGTTGTAAAATCTAATTTCTTGCATATCTATGTGCTATTTAATACGTGTAGTACCTATTAAACATCATCGAATAATCCAAGCCTTCAAATATTACAAATGTGTGGTGTTTAGTGACCGTTAGTCGATGATTATTCAGAAATCATACACCAGACCGCACCTCACGATTTCTGAATAAAAATTACAAATTTCATTACAAAGCCAGCCACGTTAAATTAAGTTAAATAAATTAAGTTCGTAGACAACAACGTCACACCTTGGAATTAAAAATTCCAACCGACCAGTTATGTGGAATAACAATTGTTAAAAATACTCGGGGAAAACCGCGAACTGTACTAGTGTTGAAGATCACGGTCGAAGATAGGCGAACCGAGATTCAAGCAATTACGAACAAACGACTTCGGGACATCCCAAAGCTCAAAAATACTTCTTGAAACATTCCAACTGATTAGAGGTTGGTTTTATATATATATTCATTTCCAAGAAAAAAACCGCATAAATCAAAAGCGGCATTACATTATAAACATACCTACATAGACAGGGAAATGTAACATTTTGTAACAATTTGTAATTACAAAATATAGCGTATTACGAGCACGCATAATATAATTCACACAGCGTGCTGATGACTGCTCTATAGATTGATTTTTATTTATTTTTTTATTTACATATTACACATTCTCTTGTTAGAGAACGAAGACATCACAGATTGGTGAAGCTCCATTATTTCACTGCCCACTAATGCACTACACCAAGAAGTCGCGTGGCCACTTCCTTTACAACATGTGTGGTGATTAGTCCTTTATAACCTTCTGATAGAATTATTGGCGTAGGCTGCAAGTTGGAGCTTTCTATGGGTGGAAATGGTAGAGTGGAATTTAAGATGCCAGGTTGTGGACGAAAGGAATGCTGAGGTCGTACTGGTGGTAAGGTTGCATATACAGAAACGAGCATTGGCTGTTTTTGGGGATCTTGGATTTCTGGGTCTGGGCTATACACATATTGGAGCATTTAGTTGAACCCTACAGTTCAGGTATGAATGTCAAATGTATCTCGCCAGGTCGTGGACAAAAGTAATACATGTTAAGGTAGTCGTAGATGGCTGAGAGATAGAATATGTAGAAACTTGCATTGACTAGTTTTTTGATGATCTTGGATTGTTTGATCTGTGTTCTATGGATATTAAAGGGTTAGTTCAACCCCAAGCTTTAATATGTGAGTTAATCAAGGTTAGCTTAGATCATCAAGTTTGGGAATCAGTTGGTTATCGTTTTAGTTCCAGTGTTTTTAGTTTAGTGTGAAGGATCCAGAGCAGTCTCCTTTCCTTCCTCAGAAATAGTCTACAGAGACAGTGTTGTCATGAAACTGAAAAATTTTCATGCAGATAGAAGTGTCATTTGTCAAAGTGTCAAATGAAATATTTGCTTCTAGTTTTGTTTATTATCACCAACCTTTTATACCACTTGTCTAGAACGGAAATTGTGGGTTTGAAAATTACAATGAAAGATGACAGGATCAGGAAAGGATAGAGTATCATCAGCGATGGCAGACATAACTGTTAGAGATCTATGGATATATGTATAGGATGTAAATGGTAAATATGATAAGACCTAGGATGTTTCCTTGTGTAAAACCAGCCATAATTTGAAATAAGCATAGCCCTCACAAACCTGAAATCTGTCCTAAGTGTAGAATTTAAGAATGAGGTAGTAATTGTAAGGAAAGATGCATTTTATTTTACATAGTAATCCATGACTTTACCAAGAGTTTGCTCGAAGTCAAAACATATTCGAGCCAATGAATTCAACATGACCCTGATGCACGGGGGATTATCAAACTAGAAACCAAAATTGATTTGTTTGATATTCTGGGCTAGGATTCTACCAATTATGTTATGCTTCGGATTCTGAAGTAAAAAAAAGTAATAAAGATACCAATTTCTCGTATGTAACATTAAAATTAGAGAAACGTATTTATTATACGTACCTAATTATACCAACAAGGAATGGCACTAATTTCTCACCGGAAGACTTGTTCCTCAATCAAAATCGGTAACTAGCCTCGGTCGAAGTCTATTTTAAACCTCCCATTCAAATTGATACAGTTCTCGCAGTGCTTTGCCACGTAGGCCAGACCGGCTGAAAGCCGCTGGACAGGATTATAAAAATCTGACTAGCCCAAATCTCCCCTCATATCATTCCGCCAGCATTTCTCTAAGGTTAAGGGCAACCTGGACATTTTATCGCTTTAAAAACGAAACATTTAACCATTACGAAAATGAATAAAACAAATTCGATTATTATAACAATAAACTAATTTTCCACGTTCGTCAACACAAATATCCTTGCCTAGCGATTATTAACGAAATTATTTAGAATTTTGATCATAGTAACATTCCATGCCTCCTACCTTTCAACTTTTTTCTCGATGTTGAAGGACGGTGAATCGTGAATATACTTTCATAAGAACTGTTGACGTATTCTTCCGGGCTAGTTGGCCTTAGAATGATTACACA